ATAATAAAATTTAAAAAAAAAAAAAAGAAAAGTGCCTGGCAGATAGCAAGTGCTTTATAAATGTTATCTATTAATTATTAGCTCATTATGTTTGCCAATTAGTAGAAGGGAAAGTATAGACATTAATCAAGTAAGAAACTTAATTAAATGATTACAGATAGTAATTGAATGCTAGTAAGGAAATAAACAGGGTACAGTGAAAAGTGGGAGGACTAGATTAGTGAGGCTTATATAAGAAAGTGACTCTGCCACAAAGACTCAAATTCTCCCTTGACACTACATACTGTAACTTCACAATTTTAATTGTACAATCTCTCTTGCTTCCATTATCCCTTTTCATCATCTGTAAGTAATTCCTTTTGTTTATAAACAAATAAAGGGCTGATCATCAGAGATAGGACCTAGAGTATCCTTTGAGCATGTACTGTATTCTACTTGCTTTATTAACATTGTCTCATTCCACATTCACAACATCATGAAAAATATTATTAGCTTCTGTCTGCAGATGGGACAACTGAGTCTCAGAGAAGAGAAATCTTCTGCTGAAGAGCCAATACATAGTAGATGTTACAGCCAGAGTTGGAATAGAGGCCTCTGGATTCTAGAGCAGCCGTGGGCAAACTACGGCCCCGCGGGCCGGATCCAGCCCGTTTGAAATGAATAAAACTATTGAAAAGAAAGACCGTACCCTTTTATGTAATGATGTTTACTTTGAATTTATATTAGTTCACACAAACACTCCATCCATGCTTTTGTTCCGGCCCTCCAGTCCAGTTTAAGAACCCATTGTGGCCCTCGAGTCAAAAAGTTTGCCCATCCCTGTTCTAGAGTCTATATTCCTTCCAACTGCCTCCATGAACATTTATTTTACTCATCATGTGATGACTATGGACCCAATAAATAATGATAGCAGATACTTATATAACACTTGTCATATGCCATATGTTACATGCATTAATTCATTCAATCCTCAGAGCAACTCTATGTAATAGGTACCACTTTAATCTCCATTTTAGACATGAGGAAGTCGAAGTAAAAAGTTAAAAAAAATTCCCTAAGGTTCCACAAGGGGCTCAGGGAAGTGGCACAACCAGGATTTGAAATTAGGCTCTCTGACTCCTGTGTGCTTAGAATTTATTTAAATTCAATAAACACTTATATGATAGCATCAGACACTGTTTTAAGCTCCTTATACATAGTAACACTATTTTATATACTAATTCATGTAGTCCTCAAAACAGCCTTATGAGTAAGGGATCATTATTGTTCTCATTTTACACATGAGATTACTGAATCACAGAGCAGTTAAGTAACTTGCCCAAGGTCACACAGCTAGTAGGGACAAAACCAGGATTCCAGCTTAGGCAGTTTCCCTCCTTCTAAGGCTCAATTCACAGTAGCAGTGCAAGAGGCCACAATCTTTCCCCAGATCTAACCATAGCCCATATGTCTAATTCACTTGTCTTAGGACCTAGTCAAAGTCACCTCAGGGCCTATTCAGCCTGTTTGTCTACCAAAGATTTTGCTGCCCTTGTACTGAGACTCCACCTTAAATTCCTAGCATACAGTTTTTGCCCATGCCAGGTAGGAAGTCTGATCATGGCACATTGCTTGGTCTTCCTCTCCCATGCCTTGGCTGGAACTTTCCTTTCTCTCTACCTATAATGCTATTCGCTTCTTCATGTTTTTATGCCCCCCATATATCCAACTATCCAACAGCATTTGCCTCTCTCTCTCTCTCTCTCTCTCTCTCTCTCTCTCTCTCTCTCTCTCTCCTTCTACCCTGTACCTCACAGTTTGGCCTTCATTCTATACTGTATGCTATTCTTTGACTATCTAGTCTGTCTTGTATCCCCAACTCCTCTGTCATTTCTTCAAGATCAGGGCCTAGTAATATTCCAGAACTTTTTCACTGCTGCCTCTGAGATCATAGACTCATATACTCACATAGTGTAATTGCTAGAAGAGCCCTTAGAAGCTATCTAGTCCTATTTGTTCTTCGCATAGGCACTCTGGAGCCCAGAGAAAGTGATTCCAATACAATTCTCCTTTATTTTAATGGTTTTACCCCTGCTTTATGTCTCCTCTCCTCCTCCTGTCCAAATCCTACCTACCCTTCTAAAAGGAAGAGTGGGTGGTTTTTGTTTTGTTTGTTTTTAAAATTCAGGGCCAGAGCTGGAAGTGTTTTTTTTCCAGGAGTCTGAGAACTTACTTTTCCAATGCTGATGTTCCATGTCAAACTCCAGGCCTGCTAACACTCATATACAGAACTTTAAGGAGTTGAGCTGCATACCACTATAAAATAGCCACAAGAAATGGAATCTGCAAGGTGCCTCCAACCACTTGACCTTCCCTCTGTTTCCACTAGGCTCTATAGACCTGACTCTATGCCCATCTTCCTTCTCACCCCTGTTTCAGTCCTGGAGCTTTTCAGTTTCTGCAATAGGAGTGGTTTGGTCACTATTTACTGCCTCCCCTTTTTGCCCTCCCCACAATTTCTCTGTCAGGGCTGGCACTTCTTTGTGTAGCCATGCCTACACACTCTAGTAGTCCAATAACTGCCTCCTGGGCCTCACAGAGTAGAGAAGTGGGCGTAATATGAAAAGGAAAGAGGATGGATTTGGGTTATTGTTCTCACACGTGGATGTGAACTGAACCAAAGAGGAGCTTTGATTGCAATGGATTTCATCTACTGTGAGTATTGTATGGAGACTGGGAGCTGAGTGGTTGGAATGTCTGGCCTGCACTGAGGTACAATTGTTCAGGAATTCTGTTGCTAGAGAAAAATCCATCTATCAATTCATTTACAGGGTAAATATGGAGTGTAAATGCATGGCAAGGCTGCTCAGATATGTGGGAAATAGGGTTGGGAATTCAGGATCAGCTTAGTTTTACTTTGTTTAAGCACTACAAAATCAGAATGGCTGGGAAGGCATCCTGTGGCCATCTGTCAGTCCATCCATCTGTATCCAGAGAGTGCTGTTTCAGGTGACAGGGACCTGGGCTAGTGATCTGATGGCCTTGGAAGCAAGTTCCTTCTTGTGTGGGCTTTTACTAGATTCCTATGGCCTCTGGGAACATGTCTGGCTGTGCCCAACCACCCTGAGCATCTGAAGTTGGGAGATAAGGAAGAGAGGGAGGTTGAAAGTTTAGGGGAGAGGGGGGTTGGATCAGATATGTGAAGCATCCAGAGGGAAGTTGAGCTGCCAGCCCACCCATGTGGTCCTTGGGCAAGTCAGGGCTTGTGTAAAGAACACACAGACTCTATTTTGTGGCTTTCAGTCTGCCCCTTCATGCAGCCAGCTAGGTTTCACTTGATCCTTCAGTCCTGGAATCTAAGCCCAGGGCAGTGATATTTTGATCCTGTCTTACCCCAAACACTGGCCAAAGCAGAGGCAGCTGTGAGAACTAAGAGACAAGCAGAGGCCTGCCAGAAACCAGGCTGGGAAAGTAAAGATACCAAAGTCTGGATTGAACAGGTGTTGCGATGTCTTGCAGGGTGGCTAAAGCAGGAGAGCGGGGGCCATCTTCTCCTACATAGTTCTCCTGATCCCTTATTCACCTCAACATAACTTTAATTCAATATAACAAATCCATTGAGTACCCACTCTGTATCACCATTATGTGAGACAGAGAAATGTTTAAGACATAGGTTGTGCTAACTGAGATCTGACAGTTTCAACATGGGTATAAGAACAAATAAATATAACACAAAATAGGCTTTAAAGGTTCAGTCAAAATGTTTTGAGGTTGTCAAGTAAGGGTTATATCAAGTTGAGGCAGGGGAAATCAGAAATGGCTTTTTAATTGTGTGGGGTTTTCTGGTTTTTTGTTTTTGTTTTTGTTTGTTTGTTTTTTGTTTGTTTTTTTTAATTGTAACACCTCAGGACTCCAGAGCCTGGCTACTTGAACTCAAATCCCACTGCCACCATTTATAAACTTGTGTGACATTGGGTGAGTAGAATTACTTCCCCCTCTCTGAACTCTGATTTACTGTAGGCTAAAATAGATATAATAATAGAGCTTACTTCATCACATTTTTTGAGGATTAAATTAGTAATCCCAGTGAGAAATCCATGTAAAATACTTGTACACACTTAGCACAGTGGCTGAACCAAAATAAGCACTCAATAAGTGTTAACTATTATTATTATTTAAGATGAAGCATGAAGCACAGATAGGATTTCAACAGGTGGAGATAGGACAAAAAGCAGTCTAAGCAGATAAAACAGCTAGAACAACTGTTTGGAGGCAGGGAAGCTCGGAGCATGTGAAAAGAACACTGCCTGACTGGTTTTTAAAGTACAGTTAGGGGAAAAGTGGAAGTCCAAGTTGCCATGGTCCGATTGGGCAAACTGTGGAAGATTTTGGGTGCTATACTTCCTGTTTGATTCGACAGACATTGGAAAGGCATTGTAAGTATCTGAGCTAAAGAAAAAAAGTCAAATCTGTGTTTCAGGAAAAATAACGTGAGTTAACTGGATTGAAACTGGGAAACATGAGAAGTGGATAAACCAGATGCAGCAAGGGAATAAGTTTTTGCAACTGAAGTAGTGGCAGTGGGAATAGAAAGAAGAGAATGAATTTAACAAGGCATTATAAAACTTGAATCTACCAAACTTAGAAGTGAGAAATTAAATGTGAATAGCGTAATAGAAAGGATATATGCTTTCTGAACTAGACACAGCTCTGTATAAATCCTGGGTCTTCTGCTTACATGCTGTTTATGATCCTAAACATATTATTTATCTGTCATTCATGACCAGCATTGCATTTCCATAGGGCATTTAGAAATATGTGTAAGGAGTGTGGTTTTTCGTGTGTTTTTGTTTTGTTTTTGTTTTTCTTTTACAAATAATGAGGTACTACTGCATTTAGTGCCAACCAGTTTGATGCAACAAAGAACTGTTCTTTCCACACACTTATAATACCAGTAGTAAGCCCAGTGAGAAATGCTAAACTTCTCTGATCCTCAGTTTTCTATGCTGAAAGACATGGTTGGTAATACCCATGATCAACCCCACAACCTGGGCATGTGTCCTTGACCAGAATCAAACCTGGTACCTTTCAGTTCACAGATCGATGCTCTAGCCACTGAGTCAAACTGGCTAGGGCCCATGTTATAGTTTTGATGGGAGAATTAAAAGAGATAATCCCTGCAAAGTACCTAGAACAATATCTTACACCTAGGCTTTCAAAAATCATGCTTTTGCACCCGTTTTAAAACATCCATGATAGTCTCTGCTTTGTATATTTCTAAAGGGAGTGTACTTACTGATCTATGAAGTAATGCATTCCCTTCATGGAAAGCCTTGACTCTTCAAAAAATATTCCTTTTGTTAAGTGGAACATAGTCTTCTTGTGGCTTTTCCCCAGAAATCCTCATTCACCCTGGGGCCACTCATGACCAGAAACCAGATCTTTCTGCATCCTCTATTCCAAGGTCAAACAGCCCAGCTCTTCCACCATTTCTCAATATGGCATGATGTCAAGTCAAATAAGACTCTGATGTTTTGAGCTATGTAAACTGGGGCAATGGTCACGATTTTGAAATGATGGGAAACATTGCAAAAGGAACAGGGTAGGTGAATATGACAAGTTGCTTTGTAATATACTATTTTTTTGTAATATGCTATTTCTTAAGTTACTGCTTATATGCCAGTTGACTTAAATCCATCATCCAAATGACACCTCACCCCAGCTGTTTTTGTCTTAATTTTACCAGTGGCCAAACAGGCCCAGAGAAAATGAAACTTGCTAGAAATTGTTTAGTTTAGTCAGGGTCTGAGCTAAACTGGAAGCCATATTTTTCTTACTCCCGGGCCTGTGTTTTTATGTATGTATGTATGTATGTATGTATGTATTTTATTTCTTATGGCTCATTGGATTTAAGGTGCAGGCTGGGAAATTAGGCTAACTTTGGCAGTGCAGAAGGGATCCTCTAATTACCTAAATGAATTTTTCCTTCTTTGAAGGAACTGATTTAGAGAAGCTCTTTATGGGAAACAAAAGTCCCTGTTCCTGGAGAAGAGTCAAGCACTTCCTCTCTCCCTGAGAACACAAGCCAGGCGAAAAACAAAACAAAACAAAACAAATAAACCCTACTTTAGATGTCTTCTTGAGATGCTCCACCTAAATTCCTCCTGCAGAGAGGGAAAGGTCTTTTGTAACCATTCCTCAGAACTGAAGCTTGGTATTAAAAGAGACGCAATTTTTCTCTGCTTTTTCTGGAAGCTAGCCCCATTCATCAGTTCTCCCTTCAGGTTCTTAATATGAGGGTTGTGAATCAGTTTTACCATCAGTCTGTAAAATGGAAGAAATATTATTCTGTGCTCATGTGAGATATTAGGATGGCTAAAGTTTATCTTGGATTAGAATTAGCTGTAATTGTTTTCTGACAAAACTATCATTTCCTAAAGGTAAAGAAGATGTTTTATCTAGCTTGGATTTTTCCTCTTGTCACCACATCCTAATAGAATGACTACAATAAAAGGTTCTTGACAAGTATTTTTGACTTTCAGATAGCCATTCTTCCTATCCCTGAGTGACTACAATTATGTTATCTCTCAAATGCACCAAAAATACTTCATAATATTCTCCAAAAAAATGAATTGGTGGAATCAAAGAGTAAAACATTTTCATTTTTAGTAGGTTGTTAGTCATCATGTGGATAAGCCAAGGGGAGTGGGCAGCACCATTTCTTTCCATGGGCCACCTCTCCTGACCTAACCCTCCCTTTGGAATTGTTCCTGTTGAGGTTAAAATAAGCCAAGATTAGGCTTTGGAAGTACAGAAAAAAAGAGAGAGAAGCTAGAGCCTTGGTAATATATTTACTGAGTAAAAACCAATCAGTCCTGAATTTGGGCCTACCCTTCTCTTTAATTATGGGAAATAGACAAGCTTCTGGGCCCTGGTTTTGTAGATTTGGATTCTTGTCCTGGCTCTGCCACTGGCCAACTATGTTACCGTTGGAAATTTTTAGCCCTTCTCTAGGCCTCAGTTTTCCCATCTGGATCATCATGGAATATGATTAGATTATTTATCTTGAAGAATCCTTTTGGGATTCCATGACAACATGTTTCCAATTATCTAATTGAAGTTTTAACTAGTTCCCGAAGAGAAGAAAAAATAAACCATAATGAAATGTGCTGTCTTGTAAGTCTGATGTGGCTGTTGCTGAAAGAGTTCAAGTAGATCTGGGTGGTATTTTTATTTGGCAACAGGAAGTGGAACTAAGATGAGTTTAAACTCCCTTCTAACTCCAAGATTGTAAAATTCTGTATATGTGCACTTACATATGAGATTGTAGGCTTCATATTATATCAGTTTCATATTTCTGCCACTACTCTGCCAGGTCTTATACCTTTTTTCTTTTCTTTTTTTTAACTTGGGCGTCCTAAAAAAATGCAAGGAATATTTTAGTATCAGTTTCCCATCATGTACAGGCAAGCTTCATACTATGGACTCATTCTCCAATACAACTGGAAGAATAAATGGCAAATGCCCATCCATTTGCATGTCTGCTTCTTTAGCATATTTCATTTTCTGGCCTATGAGGAAGGGAGAGTGTACTTGATAGAATTTAGACTGCTATGGGAGGAAAAGCACTATTCTTATTGACATCTTCAAAAACATGCAGTTATTCCAGATTGCTTGGTAAATTGAACAGGGTGGAGAGAAGGTGGGGCAGGACC